AAAGTTGAGAATAGCGCGAATCCGTAATACATAGTGTTGTCACTTGTGTTCCAAGTGACAAAAACAAGTAAGCCATCGATGTGGTAGTAAGTTACGTCGAAAAAGCGTTGAGTAAGTAGTGAGTGGTGTTTTTAAAATTTCGGTTGCAGATAAGTTTATCGAACCCACACTGGTTCTGCGGCTGACGCAACAGATAGGATTGGTCATTACTGTAAATAGCCTACACGCACACAGATGGGAGTGTGCTGTCGCGTGTTTAACGGTGATTCATCAGTGTTATATCAGGTTCGGTTGCGCATGCAGCGAATATTGGCAAGATGCCTACCTGTCTCCATCGCAATGAGGCTGAACCTTACCGTGGTGCGATGATTTGTGTGCCTCAGCGATCCATTGAGCTATGCTGGGTGGTGCTTTTTTTGCACCTTCAGAGCCACTCATACCAGATTGGTCAATGGTTAGAGGCCAAACAAACTCAGCCCCCTGGTCCTCCAGGTTGGGGGTTGGAATGAGGTGGCTCCTTATTCCTTAAAACGGACTCCTTGTAGCCCAACGCCAAACCCGCTGCCTTGCGGTCAAGTTTTTGAACCAAATGCTTTGGTTGAGAACCCTAATCGTTCTCCTGACTAGGCCTGGACAACCTGACATTATCCTGCCCACGAAATACAATGAATTTCTCTTCAAACAGTTTCGTGATAGTCTGGCCACCGAAGAAGATAAGTAACGGTGCTCTATCTGCTGCATCGAGCAGGGTGGATAGGGTTTGAATGCTACTGCTCAAGCCTTCCCATCTTCTTATTCCCCCTCTTACGCTTTTTCTCTCTTACCGTCACGTTCCAGCTTCACTTTTATCCCCCCTGTTTTCAACCCCCCAATTCTTGGCCCTCCTCCACCTTGTTTTGCTAGGCTTTTACCTTATAGTTGCAACTCACGTGTGAAGGCGGAGCGTCATTCCTGTCCTGTCGAGAAGCCCATGTCAAACCAAGCGGCCAAGCTCACTTCATTGACTTCTATTTGGCGACCTCGATCATCCTTCAGATTGGCATGCCTCAATGTACGCACATTGCTAAAGATCGGTCAACAGGCAGCACTTGCCCGAACATTAGAGACCCTCTCTCTGTGCTCATTTTACGATCCTCTTCATGTGACACCAGCAGCACTTTCCCCTTGCGCCTATCCAGTGACGATGCAGTTTCCAGCACCGGCCAAGCCGGTTTCGGTATCGCCCTGAGTCCACGGGCTGAAGCTGCTCTGGTTGAGTTGATATCAATCAGTAACCGGATGTGTGCGGTCCGATGGGCTGGCTCGTTCAAAACTTCGAAGTCGCGCGGGACTAACAGGTGTCTATTCGTCATCGATACCTATGCACCCACAAACTCTAGCGATGATTCGGAAAAAGACGACTTCTATCGTCAATTGAGCACGGACACTGTGGTGCTGGCTGGGGATCTGAACGCTCAAGTTGGAAAGTTGTCCACTGATGAACTGCATCTGGGCAGTCCGCACGGTGTAGGCTCCCGTAATGATAACGGTAAGCAGTTACTCCATGTGTGAACATGCTAGCTTATTTCTTGCGAGCACTAATTTCCGACACAGCACCCGCCGGAGGGTGACTTGGCGCCCACCAGCTTCGAACTAGCTATGGACGCAAATCGATCACATTCCGAGCGGTTACCGATGGAAAGGCTGCGTCCAGAACTGTCGCTCGATTTGGAGCACAGGTGTGGAGACCGACCATACACTTGTATGTGCTGACCTGCGGATAAGTTTTCGCGAACGCTCAAGACGACGTTGTGAGCGCATTGACACCAGCCAACTGGCGAAACCAGCTGTTATGAATGCGTATCAAAGTACGCTGTCGCAAGTTGAGTAAGCGCTCACTGTATGCAGGTGAAGCTCACTGGTCTCCTATTCCTCAGTCCTTACCATCAGTAGGAAAATCCTCAGGTGATAAGTCTAATCGCCAACGTGGACATTGGGTCTCTTCGCAGTCTCTGGAATTTATCGATGCTCACCGGCATATCCCGGCTGGAAGCGAACACAATGAAACTTGCAAAAAGCTCCGGGCAAAACTCCGTGTTAGCCTGAAGAGAGACCGCGAATCCTGGTGGTCTCATCGTGCATCAGAGATCGAAATGGCCGCTGTCCATGGTAACCATTGTAAGTTATTCCGTTTGATACGGGAAACGGGCAGAAGGAGACCTGGTGTTAGTGAAACTATACGTTACGAGAGTGAATAGCCTATTCACAACTTGTCGAAACGCTTGGAGCGTTGGGCTGAGCACATTGAAAGGCAATTCAATCGGTCGGAATTGTTAGATTTTTCGCTGGCCACTGATCGCGCCGCTCCTTGGGCTGTCCCTTTGGATCCCCCCTCTCGCTCAAAAGTCGAACGTGAGCTCGGACTGTTAAAGTTAAATAAAGTCACGGGACCAGATGATCTACTTCCAGCCCTCTTCAAACTCAGGGGATCTGGCACTTGTGAATGATTTATACGAGTTACTAGTGAAACTGTGGGAGAAGGAAACCGTTCCAACCGATTGGAGCCGCTCCATCATAGTCCCAATTTTCAAGGGAGGCTTACAATCGGAATGCAGCAACCATAGAGGAATCCGTCTGATCCCCATCGCCTCCAAATTCCTTGCATCTGTCATCTTTCACAGACTGATTAGCACTAGTGAAAGCCATATTCGTTAAGAGCAAGCCGGAGTTCGTCGAAGTCGTGGCTGTATGGACCACATCTTCACTTTGCGTCAGTTGTTGGAGGGCCGTCATACATATTGGCGGCCCACCGTTGTCGTGTTCCTCGATATCCAAGGTGCATTCGATTCGGTAGATAGACGTGCACGTTGGGACTGTCTACTCAGAAAAGGTGTACCTGAGAAACATGTTAATATTACCCGAGCATTTTACGCGCGTAACTCAGGCAGATTGAGGGTTTACGGTAAGCTGTCGTCGCCCTTCAATATCTCCAGCGGTGTGAAACAAGGATGCCCGCTGTCACCTTTCCTCTTCAACTTCGCTATTGATGAATTAATGGAAATCAAGTTCAAAGGACACGATTTAGAAGGTGTGGAGCTACTCCCAGGAGACTTGGAGTATGCTGACGATATTGCACTAATCTGTGACAGCTCCCAGACGTGCCAAGCCGCGCTGGACAGATTAGCACTGGCTGTCAGTCGCTTCGGGCTTTGCTTTGCACCATCGAAGTGCAAAGCGTTCTTCCAAGATTGGTCTGGACCGCCTCCTTCGCTGACCGTTGGTGGGGATCAGTTAGAAGTCATACACCTTGGAAGTTATATCAGCGCCCGTGGGATCGAAGACGAGATCACGAACCGTATAGCAAAAGCTCGGAGTGCTTTTGCTAACCTTCGCCACCTATGGCGGCGGCGCGACATCACTCTCGCCCTGAAGGACTGAGCGTACAATGCAGCAGTACGTTCGACCCTACTGTGCGGTTGTGTAACCTGGCCCCTTAGATCAGTGGACATAAAGAGGCTAGTTACGTTCGACCACCGGTGTCTTCGCAATTTAGGTCACATCTGGTGGGAACACCGCGTGAGTAACGAGCGTGTTCGACGCCTTGTTTAGGGCACAGGAAAAGGTAATGAACTGTTCAGCACCGTTATTTCACGCACCAGGCTCCGATGGCTGGGCCACGTGTTACACATGGCAGCCCATCGACTCCCTCGACGTGCGTTGTTTGCGCGATGGGGGTGTGGATGGAAGAAGAGAAGAGGTGATCAAGCGATGACTTGGTCAAGAGAAATGAAGTCCCTCACTTCGAAGTTGGCCTCAGTTGGAGCGTGTCGGCTCCCTGGTTGGGGTCCGAAAGACAATGAACACGTTTGGCTGGATACACTTGTTGACATAACTAGAAGCCGACCTCAGTGGTGTTTGTGCTGTGAGTTCCTTTGTCCCACCCCATCCCTCTTAGCCTCCCCCTCCAACCACGATCTCATTATTTAACATTTTATAATTTTGCATAGGGAATTACTTTCTTTGCTGCATAGTAGCCGGCAGATAGCTTACCGGAACGATGCCCATCCGTTACCGGTAGCTCAGCTGGCTTGCACCTGTAGCATTTTATTCCTTTCTTTTCTTTTAGGTATTGCGGCACAGTAGATGAGGTGTTTCCCCCCTTTAGCTAACGTGTAGTGTGTGTGTGCTTACCTGTCCAGTAAGATCATTTCGTTTGACGCCAAAATAAGAATAGGTGAACACTCGCTTGGATAATGCTAGGTTCAAAGAGCGATTCTAGCATGGAACGGGCCATTGATGTGCTGACGTTTGGCATAGACACCCAAGCCGGCACCACATCAGTGTCACGCACCGCGAAGATGTAAACAGTCTCTGAAGCAGCCGTGACCTCTCTCTTGCCTGACCTTCATCCGATTCACAAAAGATATGAGGTCCGTGGGTGAGGTGGGGGAGGGAACAGTAAAGCGTAAACACGCTGGGTTCCTTAGTGGACAAGGGGCAGATGTGTTAAAGGCACACCATGTAGACAAGCAGATATGAAAGCATACGCTGTAAATCACAAGAGTAAAATCGAGTGCTCAGGGGGGAAGAATGAAAGCAAGAAGGAAGCAACTTTGCAGACGCCAACTTTTCGCTACACAGTAGCCATCCGCGTTGACGAAATGTTGGCAGTTTGACCATGTTTGCTTAATGACTTTGGAATTGACAACGGACCCCCGTTCACCCGAATTACGCATGCAAAGCTAAACTCACCGATTTTAATTTGTGGTGGTGAAGTAGTACAGCTAGGATATAAGATACGAACGGGCCACTGTTGCTGACGATAATAGGTCAATCACCCACTAACCACTTGTAAGCAGCTCTTGCAATGTACAACAAAAGTTCGTAGCTAAACGGGTGGTAACCTACACTATATCTCTTTACAACAACGCACGTAAAGCGGTTGGCTAAGCGAAGGCACTTAAAGGTGAAAGCCCCTCAGCTATGCGACGGAAACCAGCGATGATGTAAAAAAAACTTACTTTGGCCTTGGCCAACGGGCGTACTTTCTTTAAACTTCGGTTGACATAGAAATTCGTCCCTGACTGCATGCTGATGATAGCATGCCAGCCCATGTGATCGAGAAATAGATTGTGCACCCGGTCATCTGAGGCACGACTGATTTCGATCTCTACAATGAAGGGATTCGTGGCGAGATTACAGTGTCATTCAGTGACGGGTGAAGGTCCATGATATTTGGCGGTCGCCAGAACAGAGAATTATGAGAATAAAATGTCGAAGATATGTGAAAAAATATGGCCAGCTCCAGGTGCATTGGCTCAAGCAAATTAAGCAAAATGTCGGTAATCAGCGGTGTTGCTTCGTTGACTCACAGGTGAAGACGACGAGAAAGAAGTGAAGAAAAGGAGTTAAACATTCAAAGAGGACCTAGTCATTTAATCAAAGTCAATGTTAGTGCCAAGTGATTACCAGCTGTTCAGAAAGGGGTCAAGATACTCAAAAAGAAACGAATAAGTGGATCATTTTAAGCCAAGCTTTAGGAATACGACAAGAAGAGTATCACCAGCACTGATCGTACTGACTCATCAAATTGCTCAAACAGCACCTTGCGACTGATGAAGACGATTATCCGGTCAGAAGAAAAGAATAAACGAGGATGATGGCGTCTGATGGCGGCAAAAATACTGAGAGAACGATAAAATGATCGCCCAGCTATGCTAAATTGATTTACCGTGTGAACGGAGGCGTAGATAAACGAGGCATCACATGATGAGGTAACGAATAGTTAATGGAAGGATGCGTCGTACCGGACTATTGAAATTGTACACCTAAGTGACAACAACGGAAAGAACACATTTCTTAGGGAGGGTATGTGTTACCGGCATTGAAGTAGGGGAACGATCGTCCGGAAATTAGTTTCTTGGAGTGAATTACGTGAGAACACTGTATGGAAATTCCTGTTTAGATGCGCGCTGATAGCGTTCATGAAGGGCGATGAAATAAATATTGTCAAGCGGTTTCGTTTTCTGCACGAATTCTAAAATCGCTTGATTAGGAAACGCAGTTTTTCGTGGTGTCGGAAATTAATGAAATTGCAGTGTAAATATAGGAGTATGCGCTTACATTAGTATAGTTCCAGGAAAGCGGGATGCGCCCTAAAAAGGTGATTATACCGCGTTCGATGAGGAGATCTCATTAATCAGTCAACGCAAGGAGCGCAACCTGGCCAATGAATGGTTTGTAGTGCATACTACAAAGTGTAAATTGAACTAGTGATCAAAGTTACGGTTAAAATAGGGGTGTGCCAGTATATTGATACCATCTGACGTGCAGGGGTTCAATGGCCACTTGTGATGGTAGTGTAACTGCGATTGTGCTTATAAAGGTGGAGTGGAACCCGTGTGTTGATACTCATCATAAGGTTCAGTTTAGTTGAACGACAATCCGAGCACCGAAATGCAAAAATCCAATTGTCCCGAGTGGTATTCCCAGAGTAACAACAATTAACGATGGCGAGGAATATGACGTGCAATGCAAGTGGACCACAAAGGACATCGGAAAAAACAGGGAGTAAAATTAATCGGAATGGAACATTAACAACTAGATGCAAGAAACCGAACGCAGAAGCCCCAATGACTTCGACCGCGTCCAGTCAGATACGAACATGAACCCTATATGGGGGCACATCTCGATACCGTCACCCACGAAGAGGGCGCGTATAGAGTTGATCAATTCTCTTTGATACTTTCTACATGCCCGTATGTCAAGTCAATGATTGGACGCCTCGTGGTTTTGGCTGACTAAACGAAATGAGCGCATATGATGAACGCTGAGGTAGGTAGTCTAAGGGAATGAGAACGTGATTTGACGAAGTGAGGCACCAGAAGGTTTCCTGCTAAACATTAACTAGTAGGTGTCCGGAGTTTCCACCAGTTGTTAGCAATACACCGCAAGCATTGGTGGTCGAAGACAGACGATCTCCTAATGTGCGAAGTTATCAAGTTTGCGGTGCGCAGTGACACGGACCTCAGTACAACGTTGTGCACTGTATCCTCTGAATGATAGGCTGATATACCGTCGTTTCCACAGACTCAAAAAATCACGCGAGCTTTGTAGATAAGTGAGGTAACTTCCTTAGTGATGTGAGTGCCAGAAGTAACACAAGCATCACGATAAGTGAAGGGATCGAGCAATCTCATTGGCTGGGCCAAATCCTGTAGCAGTGGCCTGCATACTCAAGGTGTGAAATAGATGTCGTTTCGTCAACCATAAGCGATTGAATAGCCGCTCGGTGCGATACATGGTGAGATATGCCGCAACATAAACTTGAGATCCTGAGAATTTTACCTACTGGATGTATGTGTAAAGAGTGCATTTCAGTTTAACTAAAAGGAAGTAAAATGATAGATAAAAATAGTAAATAAGTGGCAACTAGCATTGAGTACTAAGAAATCATTAACCATCAGAAAAAGTTAGGTGGAAGTTAGCATACCTGAAACCTTCGGAGGAGAACCTGGGGAGATACGCAGCAGTGAGTTCTTTACAGTAGCTGCAATGATGTGGTTTCCTGCCACCTGGGCATTAGTTATCAGAGACGTTGGTCTGAAAGTTATTAATAATGCATCAGATAACTCACTTGAAAAGTTGGAACGGCTCGAGAGAGAAGATTCCATCTTTGGAAAAAAACTCGGCGGACTAAAGTGTGTTGTAAACTATCGGATTGATGCTCACTAGCCCATCCTCCGGCGAGTCAACAACGTTCTGGACCATCTTCGCCAAACAAGTCAAAAAAGGTTAAAGTTATAAATGTAATGGAGCATAGAGCCTAAAAGGGGAAATGAAGAAACCGTTAGCACAGGGAAACGATTTTGTTCTGTACAGTGGGAGCTATACCCGTTGTTGTTTATAACAATGCCCCTGCATCTTCGAGCAGATATTAAGTGACAACGAATAGAACAGCGTATATGATGCTACGTACCAGCAAGAAAATACCACTGAAATATGCGGATTAGCGCAGGATGATTTGAAGGAATCAAGGTAAAAAGGACGGCTTCAGGGAACCCGAAACTTACGAGAACGCGTGATGCGTGACAACTGCAATTTTACTATTGTACGATACTTACTGTCTTCGTTCAAGTTAACTGACATCATGGCAAACGGACAGAGCTGATAAACGCTAGAGAGAAATGAAGTAACGAAACAGTAATAAGTATATTGCTCATGGCATCAAGTTAACGTACGGGTTAACGCGTCTGAGACAAGCAGATTTGAAATGGTTGGAAATATCCGTAGTTCAAGGGTGGATTTGGGTTTTGCATAGCTCTCCGAGCTGAATGATTATTTCGCAGACGTTTCGTTGCCAGACTAGGTAACATCGTCAGTGCGGCTTTAAGGGCCTGTTTCGCAGAGACTCGTAGGCGACTTTGAGATCTAAGTGCTTGATCGGTTTCTGCTTTGAATATCAGGTTTCAATAAACGCATGTGCTTGTCGGCTTATGGCTCTTCCGAAGATTTCGACTCGCTCCAAGTCGAAATGGTGGTTTTCGGCATCTATTTGCAAGGAGATCAAAAAGTTCTGATCATTACTAGGCTGTGTACATGCAGCCGTGTGCCAAGCTTTCTTCTTGTTTGTTCTCCGTAGTATATAACAGTTTCAGCAGCAGATCTTATAGATTACACCAGATTTTTCCTATTTGTCAAGCCTATCCTTCACTGTGAAGAGTTTATTTCGTATTGTTTCTGTCGGTTGGTGGGCAATTTTGACTCCGAAAGCCAACAAAAGTCGCACTGCCATTTCAGAGATTTCACTGATATGACATAGCACGACTGGCTTTTCAACCGTTGCATTAGGTAAGGCTTATTGTGTTGCCTCATGTGAGGTCAAACAGCAAAGAATGAAACTTTTTGGGTACGAATTTCGCTGGAACAGGCTGAAGAAATGGTTTTAGTTCGCCTGCCTCAGTTGCGGCGTGCTACAGTGTGTCCATTCTCATTTGAAAAGGGTTAGCACGCAGTTGCGCGTGTGGACTGCCGGATGATTGCTGTTGTAATTGAGGATCTAGTCCGTATGTGCTGGTTTTCCAGTGGTCTTGAACCAGTCCTACGTATGAGAACGTCTACAAAAGGTAACTGCCCATTGTTCTCCTCTTACCTCATGAATTTGATGCAACCGCATACATTGTTGATTAGCTCATGTGTCTCCTCTAAGTTGGGATGCCTAAAGATGACGAAGGTACCATATATGTAGCGTACCCAAAGTTTCGGTTTCGCAATTGGAAGGTCTATCCGTTCTAGGGCCTGCATCACTATTTCGGCTACCAGTTCAGAGATCAGTGATCTCATTGGTGTGCCTTTTATCAGCTTATAAATTTGGTCGCTGAAAGTGAAATTTCATGTTAGACAGAATCCCAGCAACTCCATCATTTGTCTGGCGTTGATTGTACTACTTATGTCGGAAGCCGCAACCAATGTTTATTTCATCAAGTTGATGTCGATCGATGTGAATAGCGCCATCACACCAATAATGGCCATTAGTTCGTCGCGTTCTATGGTCATCAACATCATCATCATTATACATGTCAGCTAGAGGTGGTAAAACACCTCCGTTATAGTACCGCAATACATAAAGGAAATACATACATCCATATAATACATAAAAGAAAAATAAATACGACAGTTGCATGCCAGCTGAGCTACCAGCAACGGATAGGCATCGTTCCGGTAAGCTACCGGCCGGCTACTAGGCAAAAAAAAGTTAATTATGTTTTGACCTACGAAATAAGATCGTAGATGGAGGGCGAGGCTAAAAGGGATGGGGAGGGACAAAGAAACTCACAGCAGGAACGCGACTGAGGTCGGCTCCTTGTCATGTCAGCAAGTGTATCCAGCCAAACGTGTTCACCGTCTTTTGGACCCCAACAAGGGAGCCGTGAAGCTCCAACCGAGGCTAGCTCCGAAGTGAGGGACTTCATTCCTCTGGACCAAGTCATCGCTTGGCCACCTCTCCTCTTCTTCCACCCACATCCCCGGTGAGCAAACAACGCACGTCGAGGGAGTCGGTGGGCTGACATGCGCAACACGTGGCCCAGCCATCGGAGCCTGGTGCGGGAAATAACGGTGCTGAGCGGTTCATTACCTTTTCCTGGGCCGTAAACAAGGCGTCGAACACGCTCGTTACTCACGCGGTGTTCCCACCAGATGTGAGCCAAACTGCGAAGGCACCGATGGTCGAACGTAAGTAGCCTCTTCATGTCCGCCGATCTTAGGGGCTAGGTTTCGCAACCGTAAAGTAAGGTCGAACGTACCGCTGCATTGCACACTCTATCCTTCAGGGAGAGAGTAATGTCGCGCCGCCGCCATAGGTGGCGAAGGTTAGCAAAAGCACTCCGAGCTTTCGCTATACGGTTCGTGATCTCGTCTTCGATCCCAAGGGCGCTGATACAACTTCCCAGGTAATTGAATTTCTGAACGACTTCTAGCTGATCCCCACCAAGAGTCAGCACAGGGGGCGATCTCTTCCAATCTTGGGGGAACGCTTTGCATTTCGATGGTGCAAAGCAAAGCCCGAAGCGACTGACAGCCAGTGCTAATCTGTCCAGCGCGGCTTGGCACATCTGGGAGCTGTCACAGATGAGGGCAATGTCGTCTGCATACCCCAAGTCAAGAAGTCGTTCTCCTGGGAGTAGCTCCACACCTTCCAATTCATGTCCTGTAAATGCAATCTCCATGACTTCGTCAATAGGGAAGTTGAAGAGGAAAGGTGACAGCGGGCATCCTTGTCTCACACCGCTGGAGATATTAAAAGGCTCGACAGCTTGCCGTAAGCCCTCACTCTGCCCGTGCTACGCGCATATAATGCTTGGATAATATTTACATATTTCTCGGTCATACCTTTCCTGAGTAAACAATTCCAAAGGGCACATCGATCAACCGAATCGAAGGCACCTTTGATGTCGAGGAACACGACTACGGTGGGCCGCCAATATGTGTGACGGTGCTCCAACAACTGACGTAAGGTGAAGATGTGGTCGATGTAGCCACGACAACGACGAAACCCGCGTTCTATGGTTGTCATTTTGAGTTTTGCTAGAAACTGTACGGCCAAGTTGATCGAGGGTTCTGATCCCGCAATTATATGTTCTAGCCATCTCCTAAGCTATTTTGCAAGTCTGTAGTTTGGTGCTCCAGGTAGCGACACGATGGGGTAAAGAGGCACTGCGCTTTTGTGTTCTAATTTTGTGACTCGCACATTTAGTTTTAGTTTTAGCAGAGTGCGCTTGATATTAACTTCTAAGCGTTTTGTCGGATCTGCATTTATCGGCTGGTGTGTGTGTTGGTATCGCTGAGCGGATGTTGTGCCTTCAGTACGTAATCGGTTTTGTCCATTAGAACAGTAAGGTGTCCTTTGTCGGCTAGCAGTATAATTATGCTCTTGTCTATTTTTGAAACTCATCAAAACCTTTTGTTCCGCAGTGCAGAATATATTAGTTTCAACTTTATGAGTGAGAAATGGGATGATCCTGTGTCTGATCTCTTGTTGTGCTTGATCGCTTCTTCGGTAATGGTGTAATACTGGCACTTCCTCAGAAGTCAACAGTTTTCCTTTGCTGAATGCATAATGTATATAATGTGGATAGAGGTTTGGCGAAGAAGTTAACAGATTCCCTGATGACAACGCAAGACAGTATTTCCAGACCGCAAAACAAGCCCTCAAAACCGCACTGACGAGTTTGTCAAGTTTGGTAAGGAAACGTCCGCAAAATAATCGCTCAGCTCGGAAAACAGTAAAAAACCCACAAAAAGCAGATTCGCGATACACTGTACAGTAGAGATGGTTCGCACCGCTCGTCACTATACCATGTATCCATTGGGATTGTGGGATGTGCGAAACGAAGGGACTGATTGATGTATCGCATGCCCTTTGAATGCAATCGACCTGTTCGGTAGGTTAGAGAGGAGTAATTTACGTCTCATTCCTGCTTCTATATGGAGGAAACAGCAATGAACACTAAAATGCAGCAAGACAACCGGCGAAGCAGTGCATCTGAAAAGGTATGGGTTAGTTACTTATAAAAGGATCGCCAACTCCGTGTGGTACTGATCACAGAGCGTGTAATGCTGATGTCCGCCATCTGGGTCATGGAAACGAGTTTTAAGCTGCAATATTGGACCACGGTTTGCACTTAGTCGTCAATGGTCGTCCTCTTCATATAGCTTTCGACTGTGTATTGTATTCATGCACACTAATTCGTGTGATGTCACAGGGTAGATAAATGATGAATTTACAAAACATGAGGAAATCAACCGAGATACAGTCGCGTTAGTGAATGCTGTATTTTGGTAAGTGTATCGACATAGGACAGATCAGCAGTAAAGGAACCTCACGCATACGGCGCATTAGCCAAACTCGTGATGCTCGCGTATCTGGTCTCATGTTCCTGGTGGCGCGTTTTCGCCTGACAAGCATCCCATTACTTCTGCTTTTATCAATCCGTGGTGCCACTGATCTAAGGAGTTGCGGCACACTCAAGTCCTTGATCATCGCTGTCTGAGAAGCATTGTTGGTGTCGGATGGCACCAGCATGTCCGTAACGATTATATGCGTTGGCGAGTGCTAGGCAATGATAGTGATAGTTCATTAGGACAGCAGATAACACTGAGTTGGCTTGGACACGCACTACGTATACCCAACTGCCGCTTACTGAGAAGGGCCCTGGTTTATTTGTCAGATGTGGGGTGGCGCAAAACCCGAGGTTGACAAAAGTTAACTTGACAGCGAGCAATGAAGCCTCTGACGATCAAACAAGGGGCTGTCGGTCTGTCTAGC